CTACAACCACAACCATCTTCCTATGTGTCAGGTATGACTCCAACCACCAGAGAGTTTGCCCCTGATTCTTGTTGATTCCAGTTTTGCTAGGGGTCCTTGATGCCACATTTGGTTGAATATGGCATTGATGTCAAGGGCCGTCACTCTCACCTTATCACTGGAATTCAGCTCTTTTATCCATGTTTGAACCAAGGCTATAATGAGGTCAGGAGCTGAGTGGCCCTGGCAGTACCCAAACTGAGCAGGTTATTGCTGAGCAGGTGCTGCTTGATAGCACTGTTGATGACACCTTCCATCACTTTACTGATGATCAAGAGTAGACTGATGGGGCAGTATTTGGTTGGGTTAAATTTGCCTCTTTTGTGCACAAGACATACCTGGGCAATTTTCCACATTGCCGGGTAGATGCCAGCGTTGTAACTGTACGGGAAGATCTTGGCTAAGGGAGCAGCAAGTTCTGGAGCACAAGTCTTCAGTACTTTTGCCGCAATGTTGGCAGGGCCAATAGCCTTCTGCAGCATCAAGTGCCTCCAACCATTTCTTGATATCACGTGAAGTGAATTGAATTGACTGAAGACTATAGTATCAGTGATACTGGGGACCACTGGAGGAGGCCAAGATGGATCATCCACTCTGCACTTCTGGCAGAAGATTACTCCGAATGCTTCAGCCTTATTTTTGCACTGATGTGCTGAGCTCTTCCATCATTGAGGATGGGGGTCTATGTGGAGTTCCTCCTTCAGTAAATTGATTAATTGTTCACAACCATTCCCGACTGGATGTGGCAGGACTGCAGAGCTTATATCTGATCCACTGGTTATGTGAACACTTAGCTCTGTCTATTACTTGCTACTTGTACATGATGGCATGCAGGTGGTCCTATTTGTTATCTTCACCAGATTGACACCTCATTTTTACTCTCCATTGAACCAGGGTTGATCCCCTGGCTTGATGGTAATGGTTGAATTGGGGATATACCGGGCCATGAGGTTACAGATTGTGCTGGAGTACAATTCTGCTGTTGTTGATGGCTCACAGCACCTCAAGGATGCCCAGTCTTGAGTTGCTAGATCTGTTCGAAGTCTGTCCCATTTAACATGGTGATAGTGCCACACAACACATTGGATGGTATTCTCAATGTGAAGACAGGACTTTGTCTCCACAAGGACTGTGCGATGGTCACACTTACCGATACTGTCATGGATAGAATCATTTGCAGCTGGCATATCGGTAAGAATGAGGTCAAGTGTGATATTCCCTCTTGCTGGTTCCCTCATCATCTGCTGCAGACCCAGTCTAGCATCTATGTCCTTTAGGACCTGACCAGCTCGATCAGTAGTACTGCTGCTGAGCCACTCTTGGTGGTCAACATTGAAGGAGGGCAGTACATGGTGATCAGCAGGCGGTTTCCTTGTCTATGTTTAACCTGATACTATGAACATCATGGCTCTGGAGTCAATGTTGACAACTTCCAGGGCAATAATCTCCCAAGTGTATACCACTGTGCCGCCACCTCTGCTGGGTCTGTTCTATCAATGGGACAGGACATATCCAGGGATGGTGATGGTGGCATCTGGGACATTGTCTATAAGATATGATTGTGAAAGTATGACTATGTCAGGCTGTTTGATAACTAGCCCATGAGACAGCTCTCCCAATTTTGGCAGTAGCCCCCAGATGTTAGTAAGGAGAACTCAGCAGGGTTGACAGACATGTTTCTGCCATTGTCTTTTCCAAGGCCTAGGTCAATGCCAGGTGATCATTGAGGATGGGGGTCTATGTGGAGTTCCTCCTTCAGTAAATTGATTAATTGTTCACAACCATTCCCGACTGGATGTGGCAGGACTGCAGAACTTATATCTGATCCACTGGTTATGTGAACACTTAGCTCTGTCTATTACTTGCTACTTGTACATGATGGCATGCAGGTGGTCCTATTTGGTATCTTCACCAGATTGACACCTCATTTTTACTCTCCATTGAACCAGGGTTGATCCCCTGGCTTGATGGTAATGGTTGAATTGGGGATATACTGGGCCATGAGGTTACAGATTGTGCTGGAGTACAATTCTGCTGTTGTTGATGGCTCACAGTTTTATTTCTTTGAGATTTCGTGGTGATTGATGCAATTGAGTAGCTTGCTAAGCCATTTCAGAGGGAGTTGGGAGTCAACGACATTGCTGTGGATCTGGACTTACATGTAAGCTAGGCCAGATCAGCCGAGGATGGCAAATTTCCTTCCATTAAGGACATTAGTGAGTCAGATGAGTTTTTTTTTTCCAGCGATTGACACTGGTTTAATGCTCATCAGAAGATTCTTAATTCCCTGATTCCCATGGATTCCAGTTTTGCTAGGGCTCCTTGATGCCACATTTGGTCAAATATTACCTTGCTGTCAGGGCTGTCACTCTTGCCTCACCTCACCTCTGGAATTCAGCTCCTGATGTCCATGTTCATCTTTCTGTTCAGTCAGAAGTTTAGTGGCCCTGATGGAACCCACCCAAGTGTCAGTGAGCAGGTTATCGCTGAATAAATGTTGCTTGATAACACTATCACAATCATTCCAATCACTTTGCTGATGATTGAAAGAAGATTGATGGGGCAGCAAAATTGCTGGGATGGATTTGTCCGTTTTTGTGTGTGAACTCACAAACTAAAAGCAGAACTAGGCTATTCAGCCCCTTTTGCCTGCTCAATAAGGCCACACCTGATCTGCTTGGGTTTCAAATTCTACACTCCTGTATACCCCCAACAACTTTCACCCAAGAAGAACAGCTCACCACTGATTTCTAGATTTTCAATGACTCCACGTCCCTTGTCTTTTGAGGCAGAGAGTTCCAAAGCTACAAAACCCTCTCAAAGAATTAAAATCTTAAAAGGGCAACACCTAATTTTAAAAATGTCCCCTATTCCTGAACATTCAGGTTTTTCTATTCTTCAAGCTAATTAGCTCATACTCCTCGAACCTCCAGTGGAAACAACCTCAGTCTGTCCAGTCGTAACTCATAAGACAATACTCTCTACCCTTGTATCAATCTGGTAACCCTCCCCTGAACAACCCCAACATATTTACATCCTTTATTAAATAAGGAGTCCATAACTGTACACAATACAGGAGATATATTCTGACTAATTCCCTGTGTGTGAAACATCAAACATTTACGTTTGATTTCTCTTATAATGAAGGAGAGCATACCAGTAGCCTTCATTATGACTCGTTTTCAACAGGATCCTGATATTTTGTGATTCATGCAGTAGAACACTTAGATCCCTCTGCATCTTGAGATTCTGCAGTCTTTCTTTGTTTAGATAATACTGGTATTTTTATTCTGTCTGCCAAAGCGAACCATTTCACATTTTCCCATATTATATGCCTTCTGTCCTTTTGCCCACTCACTCAACATATCTATCTTAGTTTGCAACCTCCTTATGAACTCTTCACAGCATATATTTATGTCATCTGCAAATGTATTTGCTGTGCCTTGACCCTCACATCTACATCATTCATATAAACAGTAAAAAGGTATGGGTCCAACACAGCCCCCTGTACGAATCCATTTGCCAAATCCTACCAATCACAATAGACCCATTTATCTGTATTCTGTTTTCTGTTAACCAGTCAAAATTCAATTCATGAAAAGAGAAGCAAATTTAACCCTTTGAGTCCAATATGATGCTTCTTCAGAATAGCGTTATCAGTGTCCAGAGTCTTTGCCAGTATCCTGTGCCATCAGCCATTTCTTTACATTATGTGAAGTGAATTGTTTTGGCTGAAGACTGGAATCCGTGATGCTGGGGACTACCAGAGTAAGCTGAGATGGATCACCCACTCGCCACATCTGGCTGAAGATTGTGGTGAATATGTCAGTCAGATGTTTTATACTGATGTGCTAGGCTCCCCCATCATTAAGGATTGTGCAGCCACTTCCTTCAGTACATTGTTTAATTATCTACTACCATTCATGGCTGGACAAGTTTGGATCCGTTGGTTGTGGGAACGCTTAGCTCTGTCTATCACTTGCTGCCTTTGCTGTTTGGCCTGCAAGTGGTCCTGTTTGATAGCTTTACCATATTGACATCCCATTTTTAGGTATGTTTGGTGCAGCTCATGGCATGCCCTCCTGCACTCTCCATTGAACCAGGGTTGAGATTTCAGTTTGATGATAATTGTTGATGGCTAACATACCAGGTCATGAGGTTACAGAGTATGGTTGAATAAAATTGTACTGCTGCTGATGGCCCATCTGCCTACTGGTTGCTTAGTTTTGATTCACTAGATGCTTTCTAATTCTATTCCATTTAACACAGTGATAGTGCCACACAACTTGATGGAGGGTATTCTCAATGCAAAGGCAGACTTCGTCTCCACTAGAACTGTGTGGTGGTCACTCTTACCACTACTGTCATTGACAGATGCATCTGCAGCCGGCAGATTGGTAAGGATGAGGTCAAGTGTGATGCTCCTTCTTGATGGATTCCTCACCATCTGATACAGTTTGTGCTTTATATCATTCTTCCTTCTCTTAGTAGACTACAGCAAGGGGGATATTTGGCCCATCTTGTCTCTATTAGCTTTTTGAAAGGTTTAATTAATTGGTTCCATTTATCCATGCTCTCTCCCCATTTGTTCATGTTTACTATGTATCCAATCCCAAGTCGATAGATAAGACTGAAAATTTTTACACTGCCCTTTCAGGCAAAGCATTCCAGATTACAACTCACTTAAAATAACTACTTACTTAAAAAATACATTTGAAAAAACGCCTGATCTAGGTTCTGTTGTCTTTGTATACAACGGTGTCCCTGTTACTGTCTCTCTCTATATCCCCATCTCTTTGTGTGTCTGGCTGTTTGTCTCTATCTTTTGCACTTTGTGTCTCTTTCACTCTATTTCCCTTTACATCTCTCTCTTTGTTTCACTCCCTCTTCCTCTCTACCTTTGTCTGTGTCTCTCTCGCATGCTCTCTCTATTTCCGTGAATCCACACCTGGTATTGCTTTTCAGTATTTAACACCTTCCGGATCAAGTAGGAATTTTGTCTCTGTTTTTTGGTTTTTAGTTGTTTTTTCCTTTTTGTCACATGCTACAAAAGAAAAAACAGTGATAAAGCTCATTCAAATACTGTTGTCAAAGTTCTTTCATTATCAAAGTTAGTGTATCGCTCTATAACGATTGAGCTTATATTTGCCCCAAACACCTCTGAATAACACAAAGCTATTATAATAACAACACTGAAATGCTACAACAGTAGAATTAGATATAGCTCTTAGGACTAAAGACATAAAAGGGTATGAGGAGAAAGTGGCAACAGGAGACTGAGTTGGATGATTGGCCATGATCATATTGAATGGTGGAACAGCCTCGAAGGGCTGAATGGCCTGCTTCTAATTGCTCAAAAGGCAGCTGAAAGTCAACTTCAATACTTTGGGACAATGCTATGGATCTGGAGTCACATGTAGGCTAGACAAGGTGAGGATGGCAGATTTCCTTACATGAAGGATATTAGTGAACCAGATGGATTTTTCCCCGACAATAGCTTTGTTATCATCAATAGATTCTTAATTTCAGATTTCTTTTTTCCTGTGGTGGGATTCGAACCCAGGTCCTCAGAACATTAGATGAGTTTCCGGATTAACAGTTTAGCAATTACACCACTAGGCCAATGTCTCCCCAAATATGTATCATCTAATCTTTGAACTCCGATACTGTGCATTCCTTTCACTCTGTTTCACCATCAGTGGCAGAACCTTCAGCATCTCAACCCCAAATACTGGAACTCTCTCTAAGAGCTTCTATTCAAGTAGTATATGCCTTGGTTTGCTGGGGCGGTTGGTATTACTTATTACTGGAATTAATACCAACCACCCCAGCAAACCGAGGCATATAAATAACAAGCGGGACAGAACACCGACGCTTCACTGGAGGCACACTGACGATGTTACCCAAGGGTGACAAACATTTGCAACCAAACCCACCAGCTTGGCGAGCAAGTCTACAACCTCAGACACCTTTTTATTAAGACAGAGATGGGGTTCTTTGTTTACACCCAAAGCTTGTGGAATTCTCTTCCCCAGAGAGGCTGTGTCATTGAATGTGTTCAAGGCTGAAAAAAAAAAGGGTCCCGGCCCGAAACGTAAACTTTCCTGCTCCTCTGATGCTGTCTGGCCTGCTGTGCTGCTCCAGCTCCATATTGTGTTATCTCTGACTCTAGCATCGGCAGTTCTTACTATTTCTGAATTAGATGGATATTTTGATAGGCAAGAGAGTCAACAGTAATGGGTGGCAGATGAGAAAGTGGAGGGTTTTTTCAAAATTCATTCATAGGATGTAGGTATGGCTGGTGGGCCAGCATTTGTTACCTATCCCTAGGCGTCCTTGAGAAGGTGGTGGTGAGCTGCAACAAGATCAGTCATGAGACTGCAATAAGGTCAGCTATGATCTTATCAAATGGCAGAACAGCCTCAATGGTTCAAATGGCCTAAACCTGTTCCCAAGCCCTATCACAGAATCATTAAAGCACAGAAGGATGCCACCCCTGCATCTTTTTCTCAGGGTCCTGCAGATTCTTCCTTTGCAGACAATAATCTAAGTTTTGCTTGAAAGCTTTGATCAAACCTGCCTACCCCATACCCCCAGGCAGGTGCATTCCAGACTCTAACCAACTGCTGTGTGAAAAGCCTTCCCCTCATGACTCCGTTGCTCCTTTTGCCATATAACTTTAACCTATGCACTCTTGTTCTCAGGGATAGTAGGAACTGCAGATGCTGGAGAATCTGAGATAACAAGGTGTAGAGCTGGATGAACACAGCAGGCCAAGCAGCATTCTCAATGTTTCCAACAATAGGAACAGCTTTTCCACATTAACTTTGTCCAGACCCTAATGATTTTGAATACCTCTATTAAATCTTTTCTCAATCTTTTCTTCAAGGAAAATAGTCTCAACTTCTCCAATCTATCTTTATAACTGAGTTCCTCATCCCTGGAACCATTCTCATGAATCTTGTCTGCACTTTTTCTAATGTCTTTATATACTTCTTAAAGATTGGTGTCCAAAACTGGACATAGTACTCCATTGAAGGCCAAACACGTTTAACGTAATTTCCTTGTTCTTGTACTCTGTCCCTCTATTAATAAAGCCTAGGATACCGTAAGCCTTATTAATTTCTCTCTCCTCCTGTCCTTTCACTTTCAGTGTTTCTGTGGTCCTGTGTTCCTAGACACAGTCCTTTCTCATTCAACACCAATGCATTAACAATGTTTACTATTAATGGAAACTTTCAAATGATTATTCCCTCATTAGCTTAGGGGTGCAGAAGCATTATTAGGGTAACACCTCGATGCAGCCTGACTGAAACAAGCTAACTCAGCAGAGACTAGGAGGAAGCATAACTTCTAACCTATATGAGATAGTAAGAACTGCCGATGCTGGAGTCAGAGATAACACAGTGTGAAGCTGGAGGGACACAGCAGGCCAGGCAGCATTAGAGGAGCAGGAAAGCTGATGTTTCAGGTCAGGAGCCTTCTTCAGAAATGGGGCATTTCTAAAGAAGGGTCCCGACCCGAAACATCAGCTTTCCTGCTCCTCTGATGTTGCCTGGCCTGCTGTGTTCCTTCAGCTCCACACTGTGTCATTTCTAATCTATATGACATTCATTCATTCCTGAGATGCAGTCCTCCTGCACAAGCAGCACTTATTACCCTTTCCTAGTAACCTTGGTATGGTGGGCAGCTGTAATCTCATCCATTGGTTTGAGACTGGAATTACATTTAGACCTAGATCAGATTTAATTCCCCAAAGGACACTGTTGATCCAGTTTAGCCTTTCAAGCAATCCAATATGTTCATGGCCATTTTGCTGAGACTCTGTTTTTACCATCAGTTTTTTTTTTAAATTGAGTTTATTTTGTGAAGGTGTCATTCCTCAAGATTTTTAAGACAAACTCTACTAGTCCATCAATGTGGATTATTCAGTGACACATCTGGCTGTAACATCTGCCAGTAGACTGGAGGTTTTTAATTGGTGTGTCACAGCACACTGGTGAGCTGTGGCGAGGTGAGAAGTGCGCTGTGAAATGTTCAGGAAGCTGTGCCACTTATCTGAGCATTGAGGTGGTGACCATACCTCTGATCTCCTTTGGAGCCTCTGTGTCTACCATTGAAGGCAGTATCTACTGACTGCAGACACCCTGATTGACTGGGCAGGCACAAGCCTTCAGAGCAGCACATGTGTGGATTTGAAAAGAAGTGGGTGTGCCATGGAATTGCTTGGCTCATTCAAGTGTGCCTTGATACTGAAAAGTTGGGAACCATGGCAGTAAACCACTGGGAGCAATAAAAAGGTAGAAGAAGAGGTGATATAAATCAAAAAGCTTCTTGAGCAGTGGACAATTGTTCCCACAGAATAATCAAAGAGTCAGAGATTCAGGTAGTACAGAAGAATCCCTTCAGCTCATCAAATCTGCACTGACAAAAGCAACTCTAAACCTGCACTAGTCCCATTTTCCAGCACTTGGCCCGTAGACTTGAATATTATGACATTTCAAAGTGCTCATCCTCGTACTTTTTAAAGATTGTGAGGTTTCCTGCCTCAACTACCCTCCCAAGCAGTGAACTCCAGACTCCCACCACCCTCTAGGTGAAAAGATTTTTCCTGAAATCACCTCTAAATCTCCTGTCATTGTCTTAAAATTATGACTCCCCCCACTCCCCTTGTTATTGACTTTTCAATTCAGAGGAACAGCTGCCCCACTTAGTCTTATACACCTCAATCAGGTCCCCTCTCAGCCTCCTCTGCTCTAAAGAAAACAACCTGAGCTTATCCAGCCACTCAGCGCTTACCTCATGTACCTTTCTTCCAAAATGCAAAGACTGGTCATCGGACTCGGAACTGTTTGAACCAATGGTGCTGGAATGAGAGGAGAACCTAATAAACATTTCATAAATCACAATAACCCATGTTCCACATTGTCACCAGTGGCTCAATGGATAACATTCTCATCTCTGAGTCAGCAGGTTGTGGGTTCAAGAGGCTTGAGTACGTAATCTATACTGATATAGTACTAAGGGAGTGCCATGCTGTCTTCTTTATTCTTTCATGGGAAGTAGGCATCATTGGCAAAGTTAACATTTGTTGCCCATTACTGGTTACTCTTGAACTACTGTTATAGAAGGCAGTTAAGAGTCATTGATACTCTTTTGGGTCTGAAATCACACAAAGGCCAAACCAAGGCAGATGACAGCTGGATATACTTACAGGCAGGCATTACCAACCTACATTCTCCACAAAGCATTCGGGGACCAGATAGTTTTTTTACAATAATTGAAAATAGTTGTCATGGTCATTTGGACATTCTGGATTTATGAATTGAATGTAAATTCTACCAGCTGCCATGGAAGGATTTGAAATTGGTTTCTACATTACAAATCCCATGGTATGCGACCACCTCCTCACTCTTGGAGATTTGGAGATACAGCCTTTTGGATGAGATATTAAATCAAGGTTCTATCTGCTCTGTCAGCCAGATGCTAAAATGTTGCTGTTTCACAAAAAAACTACAGAAATACTTCTCAAACAGCATCACTAAAATGTATTAGAGATAGTAGGAACTGCAGATGCTGGAGAATCTGAGATAACAAGGTGTAGAGCTGGATGAACACAGCTGGCCAAGCAGCATCAGAGGAGCAGGAAGGCTGACGTTTTGGGCCGAGACCCTTCTTCAGAAATGGGGGAAGGGAAGGGGGTTCTGAAATAAATAGGGAGAGAGGGGGAGGCGGATAGAAGATGGATAGAGGAGAAGATTGGTGGAGAGGAGACAGACCGGTCAAAGAGGCAGGGATGGAGCCAGTAAAGGTGAATGTAGGTGGGGAGGTAGGGAGGAGATAGGTCAGTCCAGGGAGGACGGACAGGTCAAGGGGGCGGGATGAGATTAGTAGGTAGGAGGGTGGGAGGAGGTGTATTCTAGGTAGCAAAATGCCATCCCCTATTCCTAATTCCTTCGCCTCCGCCGCATCTGCTCCCAGGATGAGGCATTCCACTCCCATACATCTCAGATGTCCTCGTTTTTCAAGGACCGCAACTTCCCCCCCTCAGTGGTCGAGAACACCCTCGACCGTGTCTCCCGCATTTCCCGCAACTCATCCCTCACACACCCTCCCTGCAACAACAACCAAAACAGAATCCCCCTCGTCCTCGCGTACCACCCCACCAACCTCCGGATCCAACGATCATCCTCCGACACTTCCGCCATCTGCAATCCGACCCCACCACCACAGACATTTTTCCCTCCCCACCCTTATCTGCTTTCCGGAGGGACCACTCTCTCCGTGACTCTCTTGTCAGCTCCACACTCCCCTCCAGCCCCACCTCACCGGGCACTTTTCCCTGCAACCGCAGGAAGTGCTACACCTGCCCCCACACCTCCCCCCTCACCCCCATCCCAGGACTCAAGAAGACTTTCCACATCAAGCAGATGTTCACCTGCACATCTGCTAATGTGGTATACTGCATCCGCTGTTCCCGTTGTGGCCTCCTCTACATCGGGGAAGCCAAGTGGAGGCTTGGGGACCGCTTTGCAGAACACCTACGCTCGGTTCGCAATAAACAACTGCACCTCCCAGTCGCGAACCATTTCAACTCCCCCTCCTATTCAGCAGATGACATGTCCATCCTGGGCCTCCTGCCGTGCCACAACGATGCTACCCGAAGGTAGCAGGAACAGCAACTCATATTCTGCTTGGGAACCCGGCAGCCCAATGGTATCAATGTGGACTTCACAAGCTTCAAAATCTCCCCTCCCACTACCGCGTCCCAATACCAGCCCAGCTCGACCCGCCTCCCTAACCTGTCCTTCCTCCCACCTCAAGCCCCACTCCTATCTCCTACCTACTAACCTCATTCCACCTCCTTGATCTGTCCGTCCTCCCTGGACTGACCTATCTCTTCCCTACCTCCCCACCTACACTCACCTTTACTGGCTCCATCCCTGCCTCTTTGACCGGTCTGTCTCCTCTCCACCTATCTTCTCCTCTATCCATCTTCTATCCGCCTCCCCCTCTCTCCCTATTTATTTCAGAACCCCCTTCCCCTCCCCCATTTCTGAAGAAGGGTCTAAGCCCGAAACGTCAGTCTTCCTGCTCCTCTGATGCTGCTTGGCCTGCTGTGTTCATCCAGCTCTGCACCTTGTTATCTCACTAAAATGTATTGTCTGGTTATGTTTACATTGCTTTCTGTCTGAGTTTATTGCATGCAAAACTGACTGCTGCATTTCCACATTGCAACAGTTCAATGGCTTGAAGTACAGATGCTGTAGAAATACAACTTTGTTCTTCTTTCTACTGAGCAAAGTGCATTTAACAAGTTGTAAAAGCTTTTCTCAATTCAAGTGAAACATTTGAATGCCATTAAAAATGATCTTTAATGATACAGAAATTGCACTGTAAGTCTCAGTTAGTGTCTTTTGCTGGTGACCCAGAGCAGAGCAGGAGTGGCCAGTGGCCCAGAGGGGAGCAGGGACAGCACCCAGTGGGCTCAGAGTGAAGCTGGGATGGCCAGCAGACCTGGAGCAGAGCGGGCTGGAGTGGAGACGCCAGCCAGTGGGCCCAAGGAGATGATGGTACTGGTTGGGGAAGCCATGTGGAAGCCAAAAAGGCTGTAATGTCTCTCTTCTTAGCTTTATTTCTTATTGTTTGTACCTAAGACTTGTACCTTGGTACTTTGTACCTAAGTTGGTGCTGTGAGTTGGAGACATTGTATACTTTTCACTGTACTCTTGTTCTTTTCTAACTTACGTGACATAATCTGAATTCTAAAATTTAAAAAAATCTGATAAACAAGAAATTAAGTGCCAGAAATAGCATTGTCAGGCCTTACTGCTATTATATTTGAATTCAAATATATGCTGATTCAGAACTTGTGTGGCTGCAGGAAACTCACATGCCGTAACCTGTTTATACAGATCTGTTAATTAGGTTTCAATAATATTGAGCAATGGAAGTGATAGACGAAATTTGTCCACAGATATTTCACAGGATTAAACCAGTAAATTATTTATTCATGGGGCATGGGTGTTGTTGGCTGGACCAGCATATTTTGCTAATTTTTAGGTGCCCTCGAGAATGTGATGGTGAGCTGCCTTCTTGAACTGCTGCAGTCCTTGGCGTATTGGGCACCCATACCTGGGCTGTTAGGGAGGGAGTTCCAAGATACTGATGCAGTAACACTGAAGGAAGAGTAAGTTAGAACGGTGAACGGAAAATTGCAGTTTGTGGGACTTCTATGTATTTGTATTATGCATGTATTCCCTCAGTAGTGGGGGAGGGAGGAGGGGGGAGGGAAATGTTAAACTTGTGTATCTTGAACATGATTCTAAGGCACCAACCATGTGTTTGGCATAGTGTTTTTGCCAGGTTGACATCTTATGCCAATCCCTCGTTTCTTATCCTGCATCAGCTGGTAACCTAGTAGAAGAGTCACATCAGACTCCAAACAGTAACTCTGTTTCTCTCTCCACAGATGCTGCCATACCCGATGCGTTTCTCCAGCACTTGCTTATTTTTAACATCATAATACTATCGGGGTCAATGTAAATCCAGTTTTCGTATAATAACTCGCTCCACTTACAGGGAAATGCACAAATTTGATTTGACAAATTGAAGACCTGGGTGATGTTATAGAGGTTTATAAAATCATGAGGGACATGGATAGTGTAAATAGACCAGGTCTTTTCCTCGGGTTGGGAAAGTCCAAAACTAGAGGGTATAGGTTTAAGGTCAGAGGGGAAAGATCTAAAAGGGACCTAAGGGGCAACTTTATCGCGCAGAGGTTGGTGCATATAGAACGAGCTGCCAAGGGAAGTGGTGGAGGATGGTACAATTACAAGATTTAAAAGGCATCTGGATGAGTATATGAATAGGAAGGGGTGAGAGGGATATGCGTAAATGATGGAAAATGGGACTAGATTAATTTAGGATATCTGGTCAGCATGGATGAGTTGGACTGAAGGATCTGTTTCCGTGCTGTACACCTCTATGACTCTACAACTCACTATGTGATGAATCGAATGTACCATCTGGGCACTGATCAGGGGTGGCACAGTGGCTCAGTGGTTAGCACTGCTGCCTCACAGTGCCAGGGACCTGGGTTCGATTCCACCTCAGGTGACTGTCTGTGTGGAGTTTGCACATTCTCCCCCTGTCTGTGCGGGTTTCCTCCGGGTGGATTGGCCATGCTAAATTGCCCATAGTGTTCAGGAATGTGTAGATTCGTTGGGTTATAGGGGGATGGGTCTGGGTGGGATGCACTGAGGGTTGGTGTGGACTTGTTGGACTGAAGGGCCTGCTTCCACATGTAGGGATTCTATGATGAAATCCATGATGATGATATAAAATGTTCTGTAATCCCTGAAACTACGAAAGGTATTGTGATCCTTAAGGAAACACTGGAAACTGAGCTAGTTATCCAGTAAACGAAGGAGAGATTGCCCTTTACTATAATCAATAAAGAAATATTGTCACCTACCTGGATTCAATATAAGAGAGGATATCACCCAGCGATGCATCAGAATCGTACCTTGTACCAGACATTTCCATTTTGGCAACAATATGTTCTTTTATTTGGTTCTGCAACTGCCTTTTACATTGGATGTACTGGTGAAGAAACAAAGAATCAACTAATTCATTTCATTGAATGACGGGAAATGAAATCAGCGGCTCATTCTACACCCTGTCCAATATACAAGGTGTCAAAATTGATGAAGGTGCATTTTTGAGGAGGCTAAAGCTATGGTGGATACAGCCTATGGATATTATTCTTGCAGGAACAAATTAGGGTATGGGGGATATGATATGATTTGAATTTTGAAATAATAGTATGGGAAACAAGACTAGATACATATTGGGGTAATAGTACAGGAAATAAACATGGACATTTTTTTTACTGGTAATATTAGATCTAAGGTTTTATAAATGTTAGAAAGAAAAACCCAGGATGTGAATTTGACCTGGTTTTGTTGATAAGTGTGAAATATGAGATTTGACAGATGTTGGGATGGATAGTTAGGGATACAAGGAAATTGGGCACATATTGGGATGTGAAGTCAATGGATATTGAGATGTGAAGTCAGTAGATTTTGGGATGTGACGTTGGGAATGTGTTGGGGTGCAAGGTTGGTAGTTGTTGGGATGTGAGATTGGGAATTTGTTGAGATGTGAGATTGGGAAAACATCAGGATATGAGGTCAGTAGATTTTGGGATTTGAGATTGGAGAAACATTGGTAGGTGAAGTCAGGTAGGTGTCACAATGTGAACATGGGTAAACAATGAAATTAATAGTATGGGATATGTCAATACATAGATGCTTTATAATAAACACAAGAAATGCCGGAAACACCCATCAGATCTTTGGAGAGAAAAAAAGAGCTAACATTTCAGGTCAGTAGTCTTCCATCAGAAGAAATTGACATTCCGGAGTCTGATTACAATTTGAGGGACAGGAGGATACTTTGATGGCTATTTTTTCAAGCTGGCATGGATTAGTTGATTAAAAATATTCTGCAGTATGGAACAAGGCCATAGGATGTTCCAGCTGAAACAATCTCAAAGCTACCGTATTGATGATTTAATTGGCCTTGTATCTGGAGTTGGGATGAGCAAAGCCAGATTGCTTTCTTTTCAGTAACGGAATGTACACCTGTGTAGATTGTGTGAACAGGATCGAACTGTGTTTTTGTTCTTGATCTTGCCCTCCTCCCCAACACATTAAGTTTTCTGCCAGCCAACGAAGTGCTGAATAGGAGCAAGTGAGGTAAAAATTGAATGGCTAATTGCTTCTCAAAAAGATATTATGTTATATTGATCCTATGGCAGGAATAGTTATGTAAGGCCAATGAAAAGAAGAGGTTTCAAAGAGCAAATAATCCTTCTCAGTTTTCCATTTTGTTGTGTTCATTCTGTTATTTATAAGCACTTCAAATCCATGGAACATTTAAAAGAAGATAGAAGTTGCATTTTTTAACAACTTCCTTGATCTCACAATATCTCAAATTGCCTAAAAGGTAATGAAGCACTTTTGAAGAGTAGTGACTTTTGTAATGTAGGAAATGCACCAGTTTTGTGAGTATCAACCTCCCACAAGCAACAATGAAACAATAACAAGAAAAAATGAGTAATTTGGATAGAGGGATCTGTCTGGAGAGCAGGTGGTCCCCTCTCTTCTTTCTTCATTAGTGCCATGGGATCTCCTAGGTCCTCCAAGGTGAGCAGACATGGACTCAGTTTAATGCTTAATTTGACAGATTACACCTCCACCATGCAGTACTCCTTCAGTACTATTCTGAAGAGTCAGCTTGGATTACGTGTTTATGCCTGTACAGTGAAACTTGAATTTGCAACCTTCTAAGGTAGTACCAAGGAGTCATAGGCGTTTAGTTCTACTGAAGCATTTCCCTTCTCTCCATTGTTGCCCTCTCCCAATATTTCTTTCAATTTAAATGCTCTGCTCGTTTCATATTTATTAAGGCCTAAGATGACTGGAGTTTCTTTGCCAAGCCATCTCTACAATGTGGGTGTTTAAATCAAACTTTAAAATAAAGTCTGGCACAGCTTCTGAACTGGTTTGGCAGAGTATTCAGTCTACGAATTGGATCCACATGTGTTGAAAATCTTCGAAGATCCAAAATTTGTCCCATAAAACGGGCCTGGATTGAATGGGGTTGTGAATGTTCTTGGCCACTGGTGGAGAACTGATAAGAAATTCCTGTCTGTTTCATGAGGGAGCCAATTAAATGGTCAATGTCAGTCAGGCCTTGCCCAGATTCAGAATCACGCAGCAGAAATCCTGCTTGCCAAGAGCTTTTGAATAAGATTTAGAAATTCAGACAAGCTTAGTATTTGAATATAATTAATACAGGCAGGCTACATTAACACATTTCCATTTTGCAAACTGCAAGTTTACCTTGGACTGATCAGGATCACAATAGTCCAATAGGGTGTCACAAAACTCAAAACCCACTGATTCCAGATCATTCACATTGAAATGAATGTCCCTACTGTTCCCTGCAAAGAAAAAAATCAAAGTCAAGACTCAAGTTGCTTCTTTTCAATATGTTGCTTTGCTGGAAGAAATAGAGACTGACTCCCACCATACTGGCAATCCAACTAGAACAACTGATAACTGAATCATCAACCTGATATGCCTTAAACATATGTTTGTCAGATAGGCTATTGGAATTGAGCAAGAGGAGGCAATGGCCTAATGATATTATTGCTGGACTGTTAATCCAGAGACCCAAGTAATGTTCTGGGGAGAGTAGGAACTGCAGATGCTGGAGAATCTGAGATAACAAGGTGCAGAGCTGGATGAACACAGCAGGCCAAGCAGCATCAGAGGAGCAGGAAAGCTGACGTTTCGGGCCTAGAAGAGAGAGCAGATCATGAAAGTCTCAGTCAAAGATTGAGATTGGATAAATTATAATTATTTTAGAAATGCTAGAGCGATACATCTGCCTTCGAAGTAAAAACACGAACAATCTAGAAATAAAGAGGAACTACGTGTCTAATAATTTAATAACTAATAATAATAAAGAAAAAGTGCTATAGAAATTAATCGGACTAAAAGCTAACAAATTCCCGGGATCTGATGGTATACATCTCATTGTCGTAAAGAGGTAGCTGCAGAGAATATGATCTTCCAGGATCCCTCAAATTCTAAATAGTCCCCATAGCTTGTAAAATAGTGAACACAATCTCACTGCTTAATAAAAGAGGGAGTGAGAATACCAGAAAACTACACACCAGTTTGTTTGACAATTCTAGAATCAAATCTTAGTGATGCAATGGCAGGATATTATGGACACAGAACAGATCTACAGCAATCTAGACTCTAGTTGGTCCTAGAAATTATTATTCTAAGCATCTGTCTCAAATGCATTCCATGAACACATTCTCCAAACTACTGTTACCAATCTGATTTTGCCATTTTATATGAAGATATGAAGTCCCCTATGATTATTACATTACCTTTAAGTCAAGCTCCTCTTACGCATTGAATCATATTCTTAGCAACTGTGTAGGTACTTCCACCAGTGTATTCAAAAAAAAATCATTCCCAGGATTTGGGCTTCACTGTCTAGGGTAGCATTTATTACCCATCTCTAATTGCCCAGAGGGCAGTTAAGAGTCAACCACATTGCTGCGGATCTGGAGTCACATGTAGTTCAGACCAGGTAAGGATGGCAGTTTCCTTCCCTAAAGGGAAGTGAACCAAATGGAGTTTTCCAACAATCAACAATGGATTCATGTTATTATTAGACTCCTAATTGCCATCCACTATCTGCTACGGCGAGATTGAAACTTAGATTCCCGGAATATTACCTGGGCCTCTGGATTAAAAGTCTAGCGATAATACCTCTAGGTTAATGCCTTCCCATTTACAGCTACGAGTACAAGCCATTCAGCCCAAAGGGCTCATGCTGATATTATGTGTGATTTATGTGAGCCTCCTCCAACTTTATTTCATCCCAAACTGTCAAAATGTCCCTCTTCTTCTCTCTGGCCTCCCCTTAAATACTTCTAGCTATTTGCCTCAATGGCTTCACATGGTGATAAGTTCTACTTTCTAATGACAGTTCAGGTAAAGATATCTCTTTTAAATTTTCATTTGGATTTGTTGGCGATTATCTTATATTTATGACTCTGAGCTTCGGACTCTCCTAAATATGAAAACCTTCTTGTCCTCTACCCTATTAAACTCCTCCATAATTTTAAGGATTTCTATTAGTCTTCAGTCTCTCCACTCTAGACAAAAGAAATATTTTTCTATGATAATGTAATAATTATTAATAAATAAATATGAATATACTTTAATAAATTAATGTATGTATTTCTCCTATCCTGTGTCTTCTTCACACACTCCTTTATCCCACCACACAGGGGCTCACAAACCCCTGATTTCTTATTCCATAAACAGATTGAGGTAGTTCTGCTCTGTCATACTGCTCTTACCCAATGTGGAACCACAGAAAGTCGTTTCCAGGGTGTAACTGTTGGTGACTCCCATCCTCCACGCTACCACACGTCCTGTTCCTTCTTTAGCCCGCTTCACGTGGAATTTGCAACTTTTAAAACAAAACTGGAATGAAAAGCAGTCAGTAGGCAAAAGTCACTGGAAAAGAGAAATATCTAACTGCTCAAAGAAGTTGACACCTTTTAGCATCATTCTCAAACATGTTACTTAACTCAATCACTATCCATCTTTAAATAAGAAGTAAATAAAGAGAACAATGGAATAAACATAGAAACTAGGTGCAGAAATGGTTCATTCAGTCGTTTGAGCATCTTCTGCCATTCAATTCAATCATTGTTGATCCTTTATCTCAATGCCATATTCTTGCCTTCCTCCCATATCCCTTGATGACTTTAAAACCTAAAAATGTATCTCTCTTCCTTGAATATATTCAGTAATTTGGCCTCCACAGTCTTCCATGGCAGAGAAATCCACACGTGCTCTCCTCTCTGAGTGAAAAACGTTTTCCTCACTTCAGTCCTAAATGGTCTACCCATAGCTTAAGACTGTGATCCCTGGTTCTAGATTCCCCAAACAGGGGAAATGTCCTCTCTATATCTAGTCTGTCCAAGCTTGTTAGAATTTTATACATTGTAATCGGATCCTGTCTCATCCTTTACTATAGTGAATTCAACACGGTCGAACCAATCTCTCCTCCTCGGACAGTCCTACCAGCCAAGGGGAGATGACGGCCTAGTGGGTATTATTGATGGACTGTTAATCCAGAGACCCAGATAATGTTCTAGCGTCCCAGGTTCGAATCCCGCCACAGCAGATGGTGAAATTTGAATTCAATAAAAACAATATGTGGAATTATGAATCTAATCATGACCATGAATCCCATGTTGATTGTCAGGAAAAACCCATCTGGTTCACTCATGTCCTTTAGGGAAGGAAACTGCCGTCCTTACCTGGTCTGGCCTACATGTGACGCCAGACCCACAGCAATTTGGTTGACTCTGAACTGCCCACTGGGCAATTAGGAACAGGCAATAAATACTGCCTAGCCAGCAATGCCCTCATCCCGTGAATGAATAAAGGATTCCTGGTATCAGCTGAGTGAACATCCGCTGCATTCCTTCTATGGTAAGTATATTCTTTCTTAGCTGGGAGACCAAAACTGCACACAATACTCCAGGTGCTGTCTCACCAAGGTCCTGGACAACTGCAGTAAGACATCCCTGTTTCTGAACTCAAATCCTCTTGCAACAAAGGTGGATATACCTTTCGTTTTGCTAATAACTTGCCACACCTGCCTGTTTACCTTCACAGTTATGGTGTACAAGGACACCCAAATCCCAGAATAGGATCAAGGAGCTCAATGGTTTACTGACATTCTTAATCTGTGAAGGGGGGATTTCATAAATTATAGAATCTTGGAGTACAAAGGGAAGCCTGATCTTTTATTCACGGGATGTAGCAATCACCAGTTAAACCAGCATATATTACCAATTCCTGATTATTAATTAAGAATCAAACACATTGCTGTGAGTCATGTGTAGGCCAAGTCAGCTAAGGACAGCAGATTTTGTTTCCTAAAGGACACTAGTGGCCCAAATGAGATTTTTATGACAGTCAACAGTAGTTACATTAGCCTGTACACCATGGCATAGGTCATTTTTTTTCTTTATTCATTCACTGGATGAGGGACGTCATTGACCAGGCAGCATTTATTGCCCATCCCTAATTGCCCAGAGGGCAGGTAAGATTCACCACATTGCTGTGGGTCTGGAGTCACATGTAGGTCAGACCAGGTAAGGATGGCAGTTTTCTTCCCTAAAGGGCATTAGTGAACCAGATGGGTTTTTACAACAATCAACAATGGATTCACGGTCATCATTAGATTCTTAATTCCAGATATTTATTGATTTCAAATTCCACCATCTGCTGTGGCGTGATTGGAACCTGGGTCCCTAGAATATTATGTGGGTCTCTGGATTAGCAGTCCAGTGATAATACCACTAGGCCATCGCCTCCCCAATGGCCAGATTCAAACTCATGTTCACAGAACATTAGCCCAGGACTCTGCATTAGCAGCCTGGTGAAGTTATCACTTCACCACCTCCGCTCCATCCATCCCGTTGTATCTATGCTGGTTCTTTGAAGGAACTACCAGATCAATGTCACTCCTTGATGCACCGTACGTCAAAATCTAATCAACTTCTTTTTAAGTGGTTGTGCAGAAATTTCTAAAATTGAGATAAAAGATAATTATATCCGGTAAAGATCAAGCCTTCAAAGAATTAAACTCTTACAGAGCTTTCACTGGTTTTGCCAAGGAAGTGTTGTGAGATTACTCTGAAATCCTACATCATTAGACTGTACCTTGTTACAGCAGTTCTTACTAAGCATGAAGGGGAACACTCGCTGCTTGGCATATGATGACACAGTCCGCCTCCGGCTCTGACAACCATACATAAAAATGTTCTGCTTCCGACTGTGTCCGTGTAGATCACAATATAGAAAAACTGTCCGCTCCTCCATTAACCTGGAAAGAAACAAGAATGGTGACCTTCCCTCCATCGTAAGGTCAGAAGTGGGGATGTTTGCTGATGATTGCACAAAGTTCAGCACCATTCGTAACTCCTAAGATATGGAAGCAGACAATGTCCAAGTGCAGCAAGATCTGGACAATGACCAGGTTTGGGCCAATAAGTGGTAAGTAACATTTGTGTCACACAAATGCCTAGCAATGACCATCTCCAATGAGAGAAAACATCATTTCCACAAAACCATAAGGTGGATAAGAGAAATAGGCCATTCGGACTGTCGATTCTGCTCGCTGATACAATGAGATCATGGCTGATCTGATAATCCTCAATTCTACTATCCTGCCTTTTCCCAATAATTCTTGATTCCTTTAATGATTGTATATCTGTGTCTCAATGGTGAATAGACTTAATGACCCAGCCTCTACACCCCTCTGTGGCAAAGAATTCCACAGATTCGCCATCCCTGAGAGAACAATTTCCTTTTCATCTCTTTCTGAATTTGTGACCTCTTATTCCCATAAGGGGAAGCAATCTCTCCTCATCTAACCTGTCACGTCCCCTAAGAATTTCGTATGTTTCAATAAGGTCACTTCTCATTCTTCTAAACTCCAATGGGTATAGACCCAACCTATTCAAACTCTCCTTATATACTAGAACCTTCTCTGTACTGCCCTCCAATGCCAGTATACTGCTCTTACCCAGGGATCTGACCCATGCTTTGCATAGTTTTAGTAAAACCTCCCTACTTTTATATTCCATTCCCTTTGAAATAAAGGCCAACATTCTATTTGCCTTCTCCATTTCCCATTAAACTTTGCTGCTACCTTTTTGTGATTTATGTATGTATTGCAATCTTTCAACATTCAAATAACATTCAGCTCCTCTATTCTTCCTGCCAAAGTATGTAACAACACATTTTCCCACATTATATATCTTCTGCCAAGTGTTCATGGTTGGCTGGGGGAGGGAATGGATTTAATTATAGTAATCACTGGTAATCATCACTCACTTGCCCTGTCTGTAACCCTCTGTCGACACTGTGTCATCCTCACAACTTGCTTTCCAACTCATCTTTGTATTATCCATAAAATTGGATACAGTACATTCACTTCCCTCATCCAAGACATTAATATGTGTGGGAAAATGCTGTGGCCCCAGCACGGTTCCCATTGGCATATCACTCGTTACAGGATGCCAATCTGAAAACTATCCCCCTCTTATCCTGACTCTCTTCCTGCTAGTCAATAGCCATGGCCACTTCCATCTAGGAGGACAAGGACAGCAGATATAGGAACACCAGCACCTGCAAGTTCCCGTCCAAGCCCAACTCACCATCCTGACTTGGAAATATATCACAGTTCCTTTGCTGTCGCTGGGTCAAAATCCCAGAATTCTCTCCCTAAGGGCATTGTGGATCAACCTATAACACATGGACCGCAGCGGTTCAAGAAGGCAGCTCACCACCACCTTCTCAAAGGCAACTAGGGACGGGCAATAAATGCCAGCCCAGTCAGTGATGCCATGAATGTATTTTGAAAAGCAAATAAAAGAGCAGAAGGAATTGAACACTACTCTCCGTCTAACCTTCTGCTGTATGTTCTGTGAGCATTTGTTGGGGACAGTGTACAGGAAGCTTTACTCTATGTCAAACAACTTGCTATACCTGTTTTGGGGCAGAGATGTTGTCAGTACAGCCTAGAGGAGAGAGGCCCAAAATGGTAAGCCTTTGATGGGCTAGGAGATGGAATCGTTTTTACAAAAGAAAGGGGGAAATGTATTTTTTTAAGCTCACAGCAGCATTTCTCCTGGCCCTGAGGGATCTCTGGGTTGTACTCTTTTTCCTGTTGTCTGCCTTTGTGCTTCTTGTATCCTACCTGGGCTGCACAGGCCACAACCTTATCAATCACACCCCCTCCCAAGGTATTTTCTAACCAACTTGTTCAGACATGTTATTACACACCTCTGGAGCAGGTGGGACTATGAACCTGGGCCTCCTGGCCCAGAAGCAGTGACACTACCACTGTACTACAACAGGCCCACACTCTAATTGCACTAATCCTGCTTGAGTTCATACACTCATCGTGGCCTCATGACTGACCCTGAAATGTTGTCAATAGTTATGCCAATAGTTATTCTACATGAGAATAATGAGATGACCTCCCCATCTGAGATGAGACCTGAGCTTGACTGGGCGATACCTTTTACCTTGGAACACACATTGCACCTGCGACGTTCTCTCTCACCGTTTGATCAGTTTCCGAGTGTACCACACAGAGGGGTAGGACTCCTTCAAATAGGACCGGTATTTACGATTTAAATCCTGGCCAGAGAGTGAGCACCGGTAATTCCCCACAATGACCCCATCAGGGTTCAGCATTGGCACGATTTTGAAGAGGAAGGTGTCCCGCAGCAGTTTGGCATCCATCGAATTGCCAAGAAGGTAGTCAAGGAAACCCTTCATCATCCAGGAGCTGTTAGTCTCACCTGGGTGGACACGGGCGGTCAGGATCACCGCTTTCTTTTCGAGTGCGGCCTTGGAACTCTCGGAGGGATTGGTCACAGTCAGGACGTAAACCATGTTCCCGGCCAAGGAACGGCACAACACCCGGACCTTGCAGAATTTGGACTTGGCCGGATCATTGACCACACCTGTCACATAGTCCTGGAGGTCAGAGTAGGTGTAGGGATAGCAGTGGGCAAAGTAGCAGATGTCCCCGGCATGAGGGAACTCAAAGGTCCAGGTGAGTGAGTAATAGTGGTGCTTGCTGTTGCCATAGTTGTTTCGGTAGTACTTGATCTGGCTCCCTACCCTGCGCCACCCGACCTTGTGCAGCTCTGCATCCTTCGTGGAATACAACAGCGGCTTCATTCCCATGTTGTACAGGCTGGTGGGCTTCATCAGGTTAATGATGGTGAAGCGGTATTGGATTGCTGGCCGCATGTTCTGCACCTGGAAGTAATACCACTGGGTGTGTTTTGCTGTGTAGAGGTCCGTGCGTAACATTAAGTTATATTCGTATTCCCCTCTGCAGAAGTGGAATGGAAACAACCAGCTGATTAAGAGACAGGGAAATATTGAGTGCACAATGCCCTGAGTATTTAGGCTGTGTATAATGATAATAAAATAATACTCTAGATATGTTAAATAAAGCTATTTATTTTGAATAATGCTAATCTTATTCACAGTGTGCTTAGAGGAACTTTAAGCAAACTCGTTATTGCTATCCCACCAATGTCAGATCACTGCAAGTTTATCATTATCATTATCAGCAATTTGTTCCAGATGAATGGTCATTAGGTCATCAAAACAAAGTTCCATCTCATCATACATTCCCAGGAAATATGTGGCACAGTTTAAACTCGGAGTAATGATCCTTCTATAGTCTCCCATCAACTGCTCCCAAATTTGATATTGAATCATGTAAGGCAGATGGCCAAAGCTTTAAAGACTATCTTCAAAAAGATGAAAGAGAGGTAGAGAGGTGGACAGAATTAGACAGAAATTCCAGGGATTCCGGTCTTTGCAACTGAAGACAAATCCACTAATGGCAAGCCAATTCACCAAAAATCCTCAGACAGCACTCCCAAACCCACAACCACTTCCATCTAGATGGACAAGGGCAGCAGATACATAGGAACACCACCCCCTGCAAGTTCCCCTCCAAGCCACTCGCCACTCTGAGTTGGAAATATTATTGCTGTACCTTCACTTGTCACTGGGTCAAAAGCCTAGAATTCCCTGCCTAAGGGCATTGTGGGTCAACCTACAGCAGGTGGACTGCAGCATCCAAGAAGGCAGCATCAAGGGCAACTAGGAACAGGCAATAAATGCTGGCCAATCAGTGATGCCCGCATCCCAAAAATCTGCAGGGCGGCATGGTGGCTCAGTGGTTAGCACTACTGCCTTATTGTGCCAGGAACCCAGATTTGATTCCAAATTCAGGTGTCTGTGTGGAGTTTGCACATTCTCCCCATGTCTGTGTGGGTTTCCTCCGGGTGCTCCGGTTTCCTCCCACAGTCCAAAGATGTGCAAGCTAGACGGATTGGCCATGCTAGATTGCCCATGATGTTCAGGGATATGTAGGTTAGGTGCATTGGCCACAGGGAATGCAGGGTTACAGGGATGGGGTGGGGGGGATGGGTCTGGGTGGGATTCTCTTCAGGAGGGTCGGTGTGGAATTGTTGGGCCAAATGGCTTGTTTCCACACTGTAGGATTCTATGATTCTATGAAATGAATAAATAAAGGAAAACTTAGGTAGTGTCAAAATCCTAAATCAATGGAGCCCAGATATCGGGGAGGCTTGTAGAGCAGGAAGTGATGACAAAGAAATGGATCATGAGGGAAGGATTGTAGGTGCAGCAGGGTCATTGGAGCGACTAAAACACAAGTGTTAACATTGTCAAAACTATTCTCCACGGTCAGCTAGTGAAGGATAGAACTGGAAGCAATCTTTGCACACTTCTATGTTCGCTTACAGATTTCTAGATTACAAACATATCTGTCCTAACCCAGTGACTGCAGATTTAATCTGTGTCTATTTATGGAGCTCAAACTATTTTCTAATCAATCTGCTCAGCGATATTATGACACACATCTGGAACAGATGTAATTTGAACCTAGGCCTCTTGGTTCAGAGGCAGGGATGCTACCACCGCACCACAAGGGCTCCTTTTTGTGGAGGTCAAGTAAATCCCCTGCTATTGACACCCACCGGCATACAATTAATATACAATAAACAATGTTGGTTGAGGGATAATTATTGGCCTGGATATCAGGGAAACTTTCAAATTAGTCAATATGGTATCTGTTAGTTTCATCTGGGAAAATAGGCAGGTCCTTCATCTAATATCTCAAAAAGAAACCAATTCCAATGCAGTAACCCTTCAATACTGCTCTAGAAGTATCAACCCCTATTATGTGCTGCAGTCTGGCCTTCTGACACAGAGATAACAACGGTATTGTTCAAAAATGGCTGACACACAAATATCCGAAGATAAATTGCCCTAACATGCACTCCAAGTAGGAAGCTGCTTTTACAGAAAATTTGAAAAGATTTACAATGCATAAATTATGACATATATAATAGACCTCAAATATTTAGGAAGTGGGGCTCATTGTTTCACTACGTATTGCGGAAAAATCTTACGCACACTTTGAATACTTTCTCGAGATTCCCACTCTCAAATCGAGACTCGAATATCAGTGTGTTGTTTTGATCGCTGACATTAACGGCTGCCTGTTTCAGGGGCTTGGAACTGCCACTCACTCGGGAAAAGGTGAAACAGGGTTCCATATAGGCTGCAAGACAAATGCATCACAAGCTTTACTTCCAGTACTTTCAGTTTTGATATGGAAAAATAAATCATGCAATCTCAGGTTTCAGGTGGGGAATATTAGACTGTGGAAGCACATATTGAAAAATCTCCATATCTGTAACTATGGTCTTCTATCCATCAAAGGTAGAAAATGGTGGAGTTGCATGATCACTGTTCCTTGACATGAAATACCCCCAAACCCCACTCGTCCATAAGAGACGATGTTCAGCAATGGGAAATGTACAATTTATCCTGAATCATTAGAGCAATCTTTCTAAATCTAATATACTTTCGTTTGCTTCCACTCTCAAATATTTGCCTCTCCTCCACTCTTGAAAGTACTGATTGCCATTGGCTTGCTAGGCCACTGATCATGTAGTGCAAAGATTGACTGAGAACCTACTGCTGTTCGATCAATACCTTCCAACAAAATCTCACCAAATTAATCCCAGCTCTGCCTTTACATGGAACAGAGGAGCAACAGTAGACCATTCGGCCCTTTGAGTCTTTTCTGACATTCACTATGTTCATGGCTGATCATCCAACTTAGCCCCTTGTTTCCACTTTCTCCCCAAACCCTTCAGGCCTAAAAATTATATCTAAATCCTTCTTGAAATCATTCAATGTTTGGCCGTAATTGCTTTCTATGCATAGAATTCCACAGGCTCACCATTCCCTGGGTGAAGAAATTGCCCTTCATCTCAATCCTAAATGGACTATCCATATTCATAGACTGTAACTCCTGACCCATGACCCCTTTCTTGGTCAAGTCAATGGCCATTGCAAATTCTCTTGATCTAAACCAATTTTCTCATCTGAGGTCCTTCATGTGAAAATTAAAACATTGGTAAAACTGTCCTTTTAAATTACTAAATTCAAAATAATTGATTTATTGACCAACTTGGGAAATGCTGAGATTCATGCTTCAGCCTTTAGTTATATTCAGGGAAGGAACAGAGCCCTCTTTAAGCCCAGCACATGTTCCACAAACATTCTGACCAATTTCACAGAGAAAACCACAAATAACAATTGGATCTTTTATTAACATTTGCAAGGGGGAGCTAGCCACTGTGTAAAACTGTCACCAGGGATGCCAGTATCCCCTGGGGATATATGATGCTAGGTCTGTTTCAGGTGCGGGTCAGAGCCTCATGCAGTTTAACCAAAAAATGGATGAGACCAGATCCAATATTGTCCATTGGCACAGAATTTCCTAGGAATGTAGATTCATCTTTAGAGTCATACAGTCATACAGCATGGAAACAGGCCCTTTGGCCAGACTCATTCATGCTAACTAGGTTTCCTAAACTGAACTAGTCCTCGAGTTAGCTTTTGGCCCATTGCCGTCTAAACCTTTCCTATGCATGCAGCTATTCAAATGTCTTTTAAATGTTGTAGTTGTACCTGTTATTTTACTTATTCATTTGTGGGATTTGGGCATCACTGGCTGACCAGCATTTATTGCCCTGTCTCTATCACTTCTTCTGGTAGCTTGTCCATTCACATATCACCCTTTCTGTGTAAGTTGCCCCTCAGGTCCCTTTCAAATCTTTCCCCTCTCACCTTAACCTATGCCCTGTAGAATTATCAAGTCATAGAGATGTACAGCACAGCAATAGAAACTTCAGTCCCACTCGTCCGTGCCAACCAGATATCCTAAATAAATCTAGTCCCATTTTCCAGCATTTATCCATATCCCTGTAAACCCTTCCTATTCATATACCCATCCAGTTACCTTTTAAATGTTGTAATTGTACCAGCCTCCACCACTTCCTCTGGCAGCTCGTTCCATACACGCACCAACCCTTGCATGAGAAAGTTGACCTTTAGGTCCCTTTTAAAGCTTTCCCCTCTCAGCTTAAACCTATGCCCTCTAGTTTTGGACTCCACCACCCTGGGGAAAAGACCTGGTCTATTTACCCGATCCATGTCCCTAATGATTTTATAAACCTCTATAAGGTCACCCCTCAGCCTCCGAAGCTTCAGGGAAAATAGCCTCAGCCTATTCTGCCTCTCCCTATAGCTCAAACCCTCCAATCAGAGCAACATCCTTGTAAATCTTTAGTTTTGGACTACCCCACCATGGGAAAACTTACACCAAAATTTCCTGGGAAATAGTAGATCAATGATGGGGATAACCTCAAATATAGAATTCTGAATTTCAAATCCTTATACTGTGCTGAATTCGATAGTTTCACTATTGTCGAACAATTCAGTATACAAATAGATCATTCCACACATTTTGGTTGCAGAGCTGTCTAGTTTGTCCCAATCCCTTTCTCTCGCCCCAAAATGCTACAAATATTTTCCTTTCAAATATTCATTCAAATGGCTTTTGAAAACTACTATTGGATCTATTTCCGCCAGCTTTTCAAGGAATATCTTTGGATCATAATCTTTCAGTGATTAATTTCTTCCCCAATTAAATCCAGAATTACAGAGAACACTATGTTCAAATCCTATACAGCCAGAGTCATGGAAAACAGCAAAAACTCACTGAGACAAATTAGTACAGGCATCAAAAAATAACTGCATTTGAACAGTTAAGAAACTAAAGACGGCTCTTTACAAATAATGCAGAGAAATCTTGCTTCACTGCTTTCTTTTTAACACCTCTGTTTTATGCAGACTGTGGAGCACATTTCAAATTACCTTTAGTGGTACTATACACCAGTTCACCCTCTTCTGGGTTTATATAGATTGGTGCTTGCTCCAATCCTGTTGCTCTATAAAAAGGTTCTGGGCCTATTGAAACACCCACTGTAAAAAGAGAGAACAGTTGAGAATTGTCTCAAAACCCAGCACTGTATTCTATACAAGAAATATGGGACACAGAGAAAGGTTATGGCAGAGAAAAAAGCAATTCAATCTATCATGTCTATGCTGGTCAAAAGTAAAAACTAGCCAGCCACTCTCCACTTTCCAGCACCTGGTTCATAGCCAAGTAGGTTAAAGTACTTCAGGTATGGATATAAGTACCTTTAAATGAGGTCAGGGTTCTGCCATGAGATATAGAACACAATTAGAAAAGAAAGAGACCTTAAACATCCAGCTACGTCCCAATCTACTCCCCCAAACTATTAATTTACAGCAATTCAAAACCAGAGATTTTAGCCCTCAATGTCAAACATCAAACAGTAATGCAATGTCTACATAAAATATCATGGACAAAAATTACCTCCAGTGATACACTCATGATTCTCACTCATGACTCATGATTGACTCATGATTTTGTAATAGCCTCTGTAAGTCACATCAATAGTTTCTTTGGAAGATTAAGCTATTGGACTTTTTATACATATCCATTATTACTAATCTGGTTCCTGGAGAATCCCCTATGATCTGTGTGTCCTTGTTTGCTATGATCTGCCTGTACTGCTCGCAAAACTTAGGTACATGTAACTACAATAAATCAAATCAACTTTTCAATTTCTGAGTCATTCTCCAATTTAGATTTCATAGAATCCCTACAGTGTGGGACCAGGCCCTTTGGCCCAACCCATCCACACCAACCCTTGGAGCATCCCACCAAGACCCACCCCCCCTACACTACGGGGAATTTAGCATGGCCAATCCACCTAGCCTGCACATCTTTGGACTATAGGAGGAAACCCATGCAGACACGGGGAGAATGTGCAAACTCCACACAGACAGTTGCCCAAGGGTGGAATTGAACCTGGGTCCCTGGGGCTGTGAGGCAGCAGTGCTACCCACTGAGCCACCATGCTGCCCCAAATATTTCTGTTGCATTCCCTATATCTTTCACTACAGTAAGTACACTTTTCTCCTGACAATCATCCATGTAAAAATATCCCTTCAAACTTATTAACAGAATACATCAGCTGATTCTTTCTCTTATCTGAAGCATTCACTACATAATTTAATTCTTTTAGATTGTTTTGATTTGATAAGGCCAGTGAATCTTGCTTTTAATGGTTCTTGAGAGGCAGGTAGCGATACTAGCTGCTTGTCTTCAGCAATGCTTAACTTTGGCCTTTTCTTTCTGCTCTAATTTTCATTGTTGATGGAGAACTCTTCTAATTCTTTTTGGCTATCTCAGATGCTTTCACCAGTTTCTCTCCCAGGGCATAGGCTAAAAGTGTATATTCCAAGCCCTGGTTTATCAACGTTTCTTTAATCAGTTTAAATGGACCTCTCACCTCATATCCATATAGTGGCTGAAAACGGCTGAATCCCATGAACTCATTAGGGGCATCCCTAATGGTAAACAGTGACAAAGGAATTCCTTTATCCCCAAACATTAGCACATTCTTAGTAAGAATCTTAATTGTGTTCTTCAAAATTTGGTGCCATCTTTCCAATGCACCTTGAGATTGTCAGTGATAAGAAATGACGTACATCATTTTATTTCCAAGCTTGTCATAATTTGTACTGAATATTTGTAATACTAAATTTGATCATTGAATCCAATTATATTTCTTTGGATGATCAATATCTTGCAAAATATTGAACTTTTCTTTCCACTAACAGTTCTGTAGAAATTTTTTCCTAAAGGCACAGCCTCAGGAAAACTTACGGAAACATCCATAATCATTAAAAGACACTGATTGCCATATCTGGTTTGTGTGGGGGTCCTACACAATCTACTAAGGCCCTGATAACCAGTTCTTCAAAAGCTGGTACCCTGAGGATAGGTACAGATTAAATTAATGGTTGGGATTTCCCCATTACTTGAAATGTATGTTAAATAGTCTGGAAAAATTGACCACATCTTTATGTAATTGTGTTAATAAATTTTCCTTTCGTCTTCTTTACTCATATTCACTTCATACCTTGAGGGACCTGTCTTTGGAATTTTGTGAGCTACTCATAAAATGTTATGATACTGAGATAGAATGCTGACCACTGCCCATTTAAGGTACTATCCACTTCTTCACTAGTACTTTGACTTGCAAGTAATAAATACTCAGATTTTTTTAAAATTCAATTTCTGATAGGCTGTTTGGTATAACTCTTTCAATTTTGGACCTATTTGTTGTATTTTTATTAAAGACAGTGGCTTGAACGTTAACCTGATTCTCTTTACTTTCATTCCTTTTATTTATTTTTTCAATATTTGAATCTGATAACTGAACTTCTAAAGATCTCTCTGTTTCATAGACTTCCTCTTCCAGTCTATGTCTATGGGCTTGAGATCTAGTCATGACACGGTCAGAAAACAATCTGAGATGTTTCTCCTGCTGTATCTCAATATCTTTTTCCATGTTGTTCCACCGCTCGTGGTGAAGCTAATATTCTTGAACTTGTTAGTTCACTTCCCAAAATAAAATTAATTCCCACTATAGGAATTTTATTTCACTACTGCCACTACAATTTTGTTATTTACAAGGTCACTCCTTTAATCCAACTCTGAATATGAGACTGATTTGTAATCTCCATGTATACCTCCAATTAATATTTTCTCCTTGATTAACTCCTGTAGAAGAGTAGTATCATCAGCCAGCATCAGTGACACTTGCTCCATTGTCTCTCAACATCTTTATTGGTTTACCACTACTACAAGTTAGGGGTGTGATAGAGTGCTCCCCACTTGTCTGGATGGGTGCAGTTCCAACAACGCTCAAGAAAATCAATACTATCCAGGACAAAGCAACCTGCTTGACTGGCACTACACCCACAAGCATTCACTCCCTCCACCACCGATGCTCAGTAGCAGCAGTGTGTACTATCTACAAGATGCACTGCAGAAATTCACCAAAGATCCTCAGGCAGCACCTTCCAAACGCATGAACACTTCCATCTAGAAGGACAAGGGCAGCAGATACATGGGAACACCACCCCCTGCAAGTTCCCCTCCAAGCCACTCACCATCCTGACTTGTAAAAATATCACCGTTCCTTCACTGACACTGGGTCAGAATCCTGGAATTCCCTCCCTAAAGGCATTGTGGGTCTATCTATATCACATGGACTGCAGCAGTTCAAGAAGGCAGCTCACCCCCACCTTCTCAAGGGGCAACTAGGGATGGGCAAGAAATACTGGTCCAGCCAGCGATACCCACATCCCACAAGTAAATAGAAAAAAAAACACTCTGATATGGAAGATTCACAAATTAACCTTCTAACCTGAGATAACTACTTTCCCTGAACTGTTCCATGCCCTTTTTTTCAGGAGGAAAGCTATGTTTGTTTCCAACACCAGTCAAGTCATAGGATCCATAGAATCTTAGAATTCCTACGTGTCCACTGAACTTTCCTAAAACTTTCAATCTCTGAGTTTCCTAACCTGAAGTCATTCCTTGATTATCCAGAACTGTAAGCCAATGGCCTACAATGTTTAACTTTACTAGCAAGGTCCAAACAATCTTCCATTAACACTCCAGGGGCCCCTGATCACTGACACATTCTGAATGAGGTTGTTCTGGAAAGACTTCTCATCTAGTTACTTCTTTTTTCCAAACCCTTCAGAAAATATTCAACCCTCTATACTACTATCCTAAAATCCTAACCTTAAAAATGATAGATATGCTTGTGCGTGTGTGAGGAGAGAGAGAAACTTTACGTCACGATATCCATTGTCCAACATGCCCCCTGATCCATAGCCAGAACTCACCAATGTGCTTGATACGTTCTTTGATGACTTCACACTCCTGTGGCCAACAGGGTAATTGGTGTTTGGTGGAAAGGCCATACAGGTCCCAAGGCTCACACAAACGATGGACAAGCCCTCCAAAACTATCCTCAATCACAATCTGAGTTGTACGAGGTAAAACAGGCTTTTGTTGACACCCTAAAATAGGGAAGAAGGGAGAGAGGAGTGATAAAAGATTCTTTTTTGCCCTAGCATAATTAAAACAAAAATTGTTTCAGTAAAGAAAATCACACCAGAAGAGGATAGAGATAACACAGTGTGGAGCTGGAGGAACACAGCAGGCCAGGCAGCATCAGAGGAGCAGGAAAGTTGACGTTTCGGGTCGGGACCCTCTCTGACTCTGCATTGGCAGTTCTTACTATCCCAAAAGAGGATAGGGCAGGATTGTATTCAGCACAATCCCCTTGCACATTGTCACCAGGAAAACATGGTCATGTAATTCCACAATCACATCACTCCATCCATTTCCTGGTAGCCAATGACCTCAAAATCAACATTTACAATCATCATAGTGAGCCACTAACAAAATCAGAAATTGCTAGAGAAACTTAACAGGTCTGGCAGTATCTGTGGAAAGAAGAACTCTAAAAGAGGATCACAGACCTGCTGAGTTTCTCTAGCAAATTCTACTTTTGTTTCAGATCTCCAGTATCTGCAGTTCTTTGTTTCATTATACTGTCACTCCACTTGTGTTTGCAACATGGAAGGCAGTTACTTTTGCCACCCACTCACAGCCATTAGACAGAAAGTCAGATTTAAACCCACAAACTACTCCTTCATTCATGCAATTTCTATCTTCCAGTAAAAACCCTGACCATTTCTCTTTTAAATGAGTTCAATCCTGAATTACATCATATTTAATGACAAATGGTACACGTGTCGCTGTCTCGGAAAAGCAGCCAAAATAATCAAAGAGCCTCCCTACCCTGGTTCTAATTTCTTCTAACCTCTTACCTTGGGCAGAAGGTACAAAAGCTTAAACAAATGCACAAACAGATTCATTAACAGCTTCTTCCTCGCTGTTATTAGACTTCTGAATGGAATTTTCATATTTTAAATTTAATGTTGATCTAGTTCTTTGTGCACTTTTTCTGCAGCCGTAACGTTGTATTCTCTGCTCTGTTCTACTACCCTAATGTACTTTGTACAGAATGATCTCCCTGTACTGCACTCAAAGCAAAGCTTTTCACCAAGCATAGGTACATGTGACAATAATAAATCAAATCAAAAACTGCGCTGACTTTTCATTCTTTTGTGCGAGCAAGTACTTTGCGGAAATTTTCTTCTTTATTCAGGCTTCCTTTTCATGCCAAGTGCTGAACCATGGCATGCACCATGGAGAAGGAGTGTCACAGGTAAGCATGACTCTGTCCTCCCCTGATATCCACACTACCTACTTTCAACCATTGGGGCTGGGAATAGCACGAGCCTCCTTGAACAAGTTTCTTGAGGAAGAAAAAGAATTGGAGGTAAGGTAATGCACGGAAACAGTTGTAAACTCACTTAATGTTGTCACTTTATTTATTCTGTAATTGGCTCTAGATCATTTTGATCAGAGCAAGAATGAGAATAAACAGCTTCTGCATAGTGCCTCCTGCTGGTATATCGAAAAGAGCACTGTCGTGCAAAGGGTTAAATATGTAAATAGAATAGTTATTAGGGATTTAAGATCAGATAACAACCAGAACTACTGGGAAATGGATTAGTGTAGAATTCTCATGGAAAGCCCTGTTTTGTAAATAGTTAGAAGACAATATTCAATTAATGGTAATATGGTATCTATAATCTCTTTCACTCCAATCCTGAATACAACCAGACAACAATCAAACAATCAATCAAATACAACAATCAGTTGTACAGGACATTAGTGAGGCAGCACTTGGAGTATTGTGTTCAGTTTTGGTCACCTTACTATAGGAAGGATGCTTTCAAACTGGAAAGAGTGCAGAAGAAATATACAAGGATGTTGCCCAGACTCAAGGGACTGAGTTATAGGGAGAGGCTGGACCGGACATTTTTCTTTGGAGCATAGGAGACTGAGGGGGGATCTTTTAGAAGTGTATAAGATCATGAGACACATGGATAGGGTGAATTCACTCAGTCTTTTTCCCAGGTTTGGGGGATCATGGACTAGAAGGCATCAGGTTAAGGGAAGAGGGGAAAGAGGGGAACCTGAGGGGCAACTTTTTTACACAGAGGGTGGTGTGCATATGGAATGAGCAGCTAGTGGAAGTGGTTGAAGTGGATACATTAACAACATTTAAAAGGCATTTGTACGAATACATGGATAGGAAAGGTTTAGAAGGATATTGGCCAAGTGCAGGGAAATGGAGTTAGTGTGGACGGACATTTTGGTCAGCTTGGACCTGTTTGGGCTGAAGGACCCGTCTCCATGCTGTAGGATTCTATGACTCTAAAAGTGGTGATTACAAAAGCACCAGACAGTCATTAGATTGAGACATATTGGAGTGGCTGGACAGCTGGTCCTATACCTCTCTGTGAAGTTGTTCTTCAGTGTCATGGAAATGATAAAAAGTGGTCAGCAGATGGTGAGCTTTACATGGTTAACGCATGAAGAGTTCTTGCTATATTATATGCAATACTCAGAATAACAGGTTGCACATTTAAGACACAAATGAGGAGGAATTTCTTCTCTCAGGGATGTTGTGAATCTATGGAATCCTTTATTGCAGAGGGCTGTTGAGGCTTAATCATTAAGTATATTAAAGGCTGAGATAGACAGATTTTTAACCAGAACGGGAACTAAGGTTATGGGGAAAAGGCAGGGAAGTGGAGTTGAAGGTTATAGGATCAGCCATGACCTCACTGAATGGTGAAGCATACTCAATGGGTTGAATGGCACACTTCTGCTCTTATGTCTTATGGTCTCACTTTGTTTATTCTGAGTTCTAATTCCCTTCAAACCTAAGTGTGAACGATATTAGGTGGAGGGGTTGTCCATCTGAAATTGGGCAGGGGCACTTTATTTAGCCTTCTCTGTCATTCAACTAGGTCATGGCTAACCTTCAACATCAACACCATCTTCCCACATTATCCCTTCATGAAGTGTGAACATCACTGACAAGGACAGCATTTGCTGCCAATCCCTAATTATCTGAGAACTGAGTGTCTTACTAAGATATTTCAGGGACAGTCAGGAGTTAATTTAAGGGGAGGCAGTGGCCTAATGGTATTATTGCTGGGCTGTTAATCCCAGAGACCCAAATAATGTTCGGGGGACAAAAACAAAGTTGCTGGAAAAGCTCAGCAGGTCTGGCAGCATCTGTGAAGGAGAAAACAGAGTTAATGTTTCGGGTCCAGTGACCCTTCCTCAGAACTGATGGTGGCTGGGAAAACGTCAGTTTATATGCAGAAAATAGGGAGGTGGGTGGGGTAGGGAGTAAACGATAGGATAGATCCCAAAGACTTACTAAGCTACATGTTTGAAAAAATGACAATCAATGATAGTTTCACATATCCCCAGTAAGTAGGTCATTCAGCCCCTCAAACCTGCACCACCATTGAATGAGATAATGGCTGATCTGTAGTCTAACTCCATATACCTGCTTTGGAGAAAGTGTTGTTCTGTGAAGGAGGGGAAGGACTGAGGGCAGAAGAGTGGGGAATGGGTCAGATTCACCTGAGGGTCCTGTCAACCATGGTGGCAGATTGTTGGGGGGGGGGTGAAGGCGGATGGATTTCTTGGTTGAGGATAAAGGAAGACACGTTGGAAACTCCCCAGTGGAGTATTGGAACAGCAAGAAGCAGCACCAAAAATATATTGATGTATCAGAGATCAATGTACTAACATGGGGACCCGAGTAGGACTAGCATAAAGAATGTTCACATGCCTCAGAAAGAGCCATGCATGACTTGGACCAATGCAGGTACCCATAGCCATACCATTGACTTGAAGAAAGTAAGACTCAGCCAGGGATAGGGAGGGTGGTGGTGGATGGAGACTGTTCAGGCCTCCATTCAAGGATGAAGCAGACAGCCTTCAGATCATCCTGATAGTGGGATGTACATACAGAGGGATCGTATGTCCATGGTGAAGAGGAGGTGGTTGACCCTGCAAAACTGGAAATTGCAGAACCAACATAAAGGAGCAGAAGAATGAAATTTGTAAATGGGAAGAGAATGTACGAAGAGAATTAATAGAGTGAAGAAAGGAAGAAAATGGTTCAGTGGGCAGGAACAGCTCAGTGGGTAGGAACAGCTCAGTGGGCAGGAATATGTTGAAATAATGGGCTTGCCAAGCTGTCCTATGTGTGGACAGCCCAGCATCCTGTACAATCAGATTATTTTCACTCTTTTGTTTTTCACAATACCCGACCTGTTATTGAGCTTGATCTCTTGTTGCTTTCTCAACATACTGTTTTAGAAAACCATTTCATATCCATTTCAGGAAATTTTCCTCCACAGCATTCTTATTAATTAGATTTACCAGGTCTATATGTAGATTGAAGTCCTCATGATTATTGTACTACCCTTGTTTCAAGGACCTTTAATTTCTTGATTTATACAATAACATACAAAACCACCACCGTTTGGTAGTGTTGTGGTCACAATTGTTGCTACTCCTTGCTGATTTTCTAGCTCCAAACTAATTTTTTATCCTAATATTCTAATCTAAGATCCTTTCTCCCAGTTGTAGTGATTTCACCCTTTATAAACAATGATCACCAATCCTTTGTTTCAATTTTTGTCTGTCCTTCATAAATGTCAAATACCCTCAAACAGTTTCCAGCCTTGGCCACACTACACCCACATGGCAATGAGATCAGACCTGTTTATTTCCATTTTTGTCAATAATTCATCAAATGTCTTGGAAATACTTTCAGACAGAGTGCCTTAAATTCTATCATTTTATTCTTTTCACAACCTCTCACCTTATCTTGACTTTACTTTCTAATTACCAACTGATCTCCAATGGTGATGAGTCTGAGGACATACCATTTTATTAAGGTAGGTATGGTATCAATATTACCATAAGTGTCATAACAAGCAAAATAGTACAGAAAATAAGTGTGAAAGAGAAATTTTCATAAGCAAAGTGTTATAACAAGTAAGTGTGAAAAGGCAAATAAGAAGGACATTTGATAAGGGGAATGTTACAGAGATACTTAATAAATATATCTTTCCATAAATATTCAGCAATGGGGTGAAGGGTCAGTATTCCCAGTAAGGAGACTCAGGAGAAATGCACAGAAAGAAACATATTGGAAAAGATTTAAATTAAAATAAATTCAACAATATTCATAAAACAGCTGTCCTACATTCAGAGTTTTTGGCAGTTAGTGGGCTATCTCTTTCATCACATTCTTCATCTGATTCCTGCAGGTATTCTTCAATTTCATCTTCATAATAATTTCCTGTTGAGGGCAGAAAGAGATGGTTCTTGCGCTTCACTTTAACTCCCATATTTCTTTGATGGGCCTTCTGTTGAGCTAAAGATATCACAAGCAACAAATAATTCTGTGAGCAACTATTACATTTGCCAAGATAGATTTTTAGGTCCTGTCAAATAATTTTCTTTGGGTGAGGCCACAATCGTATGGACTGGACATGATCACTGGAAGGAATGGGTTTGATGACCCAAACACTTTTTTCTTATTCCAAGTACCACCATAACAAACATCAACATGAAAAGCATTCTAACATTGTCTTTCTCTATATTTCAAGTGCTTCACAACATCAAACATCAGGAATAGGCGGAGACTCCACCCAAAGAGGTATCAAATACCCCTGACATAAAACACATAGAAATCCCATGCCCCCCCTCTATTAAATATATGGAATATCCTGTTTCTAAGTACCGTTATTACTGAATGCACAAGAGTGTTCAGTGTTAGGCAATGATAGCTCACGGGTACTATCTATATTTGTGTGCACATTATAACAGTCTAGGTCTAGGTGACAGCTTAGTGCTTTTATTGCTAGATTAGTAGTCCAAAGACCCCAGTACTCTTCTGGAGTCAGGTTCAAATCCTACCATGGCAGATGATGTAACTTGAATTCAATAGAAATCTGGAATTAAGAGTCTAATGAAAACCATGAAACTGTTATCCATTGTTGTTAGAAACCCATGGGATACACTTCTGTCCTTTAGGGAAGGAAACTGCTGTCTGTTACAGGTCTACCCTACATGTAATTCCAGATCCACAGCAAAGTGGTTGTCTCTTAACCGCCCTCTGGGCAATAAATGTTGAGCTAGCAGCGATGCCCCACCTCCTGTGAAAGAATTTTTTAGAAATTATTAACCATAGAATATGAAGGAAATGAAATGATGTTAGTCTGTTCATATTCACAGTCAGAGATAAACATTACAATTTTTTTAAAGACTAGAACTACCTTTCTTTCATTGAATGGTTTTACTAAAGACACAGATTTAAGACACATGCAACTAACCTGCGAGGAGTTCTGGAAAATGTTTCTTCATATATTGGACATATATATCTTCAGCCTATCAAGAGAGAAACAATATGACTTTTTACAACATGTATGGCCAATATTTGTGTTTATCAAGGTGAAAGAGTGGGAACAAGAAACTGGAATGAAACTCAGTAAAGGCATTCAAAAGTCTGGTACACCTCAGCCCCATCAATCAATACAAGGTAAGTACAGCAAGGTCTAGTACAGAGTAAAGTTCCCTCTTTACATTGAACCTAACACTGCCAGGTCCGATACAGCTCAGTTTTAGATACAGAGTAAAGCTTGCTTTATGATGTGTATTTTATACCCATCGAAGTTATGCAGAGATTATACACAATCTTCTATATTCTATTCAGTGCTTTAACATATCTGTTCCATGTTTCTAGCAGCTAGCTATGGTTTGTTCACTTTTCTCAGTGACCACACAAAACTTATTTAATCAAACAGACACATAGAACAACTGAAGACCACAATAAAAACTGTTGAGTCAATTAATCCCAGGCAGGGTATAGCATGGGCTAGATACAGAGTAAAGTGAGTTACATGAGTTAGAAACAAAGTAAAGCCCCATCTACATTGTCACCATCAAACACTCCAAGAACAGGTATAGCACAGGTTATATACAAAGTAAAGCTCCCTCAACATTGTCCACATCACAAACACTCCCTGGACAGGTACTGTGCGGGATTAGTTGCAGAGTAACTCTCTCTCCAGACTATCCACATCAAATACTCCCTGGACAGGGGAAAGCACAGGATTAGTTGCAGAGTAAGTCTCTCTAGACTGTCCATATCAAATACTCCCTGTACAGGGGACAATACAATGCCTATGCCTTACTCCTCTCCATTTGGTGAATGGAGTGTCAAACTATACCAGTTTGACAGCTTACATTTCCCACACAAGCATTTATCATGTGCGATTACTAATTAAAAATTAGACCAACAGTTATGACTGAATAGTTGTGACGATGCAATTCTTTAGTAAGTACACAGTATATGGTGAAGCCAAGGAAACCATTCTCTTGCCCCATGAAATCCTTAACAGAGGGAGGACAGAAAACAAGCATCACAGTGAAGCAACACAGAGAATGCTGGAGAAACTCAGCATCTATAGAGAGAAAAACAGAGTTAAGGTTTTGAGTCTGGTATGACACTTCTTCAGTGCTGGGCTTCTCCAACATTCTCTGTGTTTGTCTCAGGTTTCCAAAACCCACAATATTTTGCCTTTGTGTAAGCATTGCACAGAAATGTACAAACCATGTTTCTGGAGTGGCAGTTGTGTTGCCACTCAATGGAAGTCTTTTTCCCCTCTTCAATTTTTAATAAATAATTGATGTTTGAAAACAAATTTAAATAAATATGCAATGAATATCATTTGCAGCAGTGTCCAGGAAATTTATTTTTATTCTCTGATACATCAATAGCAACTTGGAGAGTTGGCTCATCATCCTTTGTCCATGTTCATGCAGCTCAAGATGAAAAATTCTTCAGTTATGACGAATGCGAGATTTATCGCCTCTAAGACAGTTTCAGGCCAATTCCTAATTTGGCTATGATGCAAAATATCTCTGTGTATAGCCAAATAAATTTCTTTGTCATTTTAAACAGCTCAGTTAGATTATCCTTCAATCTTCTAATCTATTGGAATACAACTTGTCTGAATTGAACTTTTTAACACCCCAGAATGATCTCATTGCTCGGAATCCCTTCCTTAGACCTTTGTGAGGCTCACTGTCAAAAACTGAACATTATACTTCAGACGGTGCATAACCAAGGCTCTGTACAGCTACAGTATCATTGTATCTCCTTTAATATCTACCCAGCTTGAGATAACATAATACTTGTAAAGTAAAAGGTAAAAGCAAGGTAAAGTCATTAGAGCTCCACTGGACCATAGGGCTGTTCTCTCATTACAGAAAGGTGACTGGTGCTGGTTTAACCTGAGGGTCACCGTGCCTCATGTGAGGGGAGAGATTGAGAAGGATAGCTCTTCATAGTAATCTGAGTAGATTAGTAAGGTTGGATCACATGGGATCCAGGGAGAGCTAGCCAATTGGATTCAAAATTAGCTGTTATTCAGACAGGAGGCCAAAGACCAGCTGTCTGCCGCAAGGATCAGTTCTGGGTCCAGTGTTGTTCTTCATGTATATCAACAATTTGGATGAAAATATAGAAGGTATGGTTAATAAGTTTGCAGATTACACCAAAATTGATGGTATAGTAGACTGTGAAGAAGGTTATCAAACAGCACCTGATCAGATTGGCTGATAGACTGAGAAGTGGCAGATGGTGTTAGATTTCGATAAATACAAGGTGTTGCATTTTGGTAAGACAAACCAAGGCAGGACTTACACAGTTAATGGTAGGGCCTGGAGAGTGTTGAACAGAGGGATGAAGGGTCACAGTTCCTTGAATGTGGCTTTGCAGGTAGACAAGGTGGTGAAGAAAGCATTTGGCACTCTTGTCTTCATTAGGGGTCAGGGCACTAAGTATAGAAATTAGGATATCATGTTGCAACATCACATTGGCAAGGCCACTTTTCGAATACTGTGTACAATTCTGTTTGCCCTGCTGTAGGAATGATGTGGTTAAACTGGAAAGGATACAGAAAAAAACTTACAAGGATGTTGCAGGGACTGGTGGGGTTTGAGTCATAGGGTGAGCTGGACATGCTGGGACTTTTGTCCCTGGAGCATTGGAGACTGACAGATGACCTCATAGAGATTTATAAAATCATGTGAGGCATAGATAAGGCGAATAGCCAAAGTGTTTTTCTAAGGATAGGTGAGCCCAAAGCTAGAGGGCATAGGTTTAAGATGAGAGGGGAAAGATTTAAATGGGACCTGAGGGGCAACCTTTTCATACTGAGGGTGGTGCATGTATGGAACAAGCTGCCAGCGGATGTAGTAGAGATGAGTACAATTACAACATTTAAAAGACATTTGGATAGGTTTAGATAGTTATGGGCGAAAAGCAGGCAAATGGGACTAGTTTAGTTTTAGGATATCTAGTTGGCATGGATGAGTTGGACCAAAAAGTCTGTTTCTATGCTGTATGACTCTGTGACTCTATGGCTAGGCTTATATCCTCTGGAGTTTAGAAGACTCAGAGGTGACTAAATTGAAACATATAAAATCCTGAAGGGAATTGACTGAGTGGATGTGGAAAGGATGTTTCCTCACTGTTGGGGGGTACTCTATAACTAGGAGTCATAGTTTGAAAATAAGGACGCCCATTTAAGACAGATGAGGAAATATTTTGTCTCCCGGTGGTTGAGAGTCTTTGGAATTCCCTTCCTCGAAAAGTAGTGAATACAGAAACTTTGAATATTTTTAAGGCAGAGGTAGACACATCCTCGATGACCAAGGGGTGAAAGAATATAGATTGCAAGTTGAGGTTAAAATCAGATCAGCCATGATTTTATTGAATGATGGAGCAGGCTGGAAGGGGCGAGTGGCCTACTTTTGTCCCTTGTTCGAATGTTTGTACTTTATTAGCCTTATTGGTTACAGTGTTAACAAAATAATTCAGCCCCAAGCTTATTCCAGCTTCCATCTGTACCTCAGGATCATTTTTGCAGTTCACATGGAAATCATTTTGTTGTGTCAATTTTGTAACAATTTAGTAAGGCATTAGAGATAACTCTGCCATGGCTCATTATAGAGTGGTATATTGCCGGTTTGGTTAGTTTGGTCGTGACCTGACCAATATTTAGTCCTCAACCATCACCTCAAACCAGATTTTCTCATCATTATCATATGGTTTGAGAGAGCTGGCCGTGGATCAATTGGTTGCTGAATATTTCAGAAAGGGTTAATGCTGACTGTATGATATTTTAATGAATATACATCATCACAGGAAATGATGCAATGTCACATGATCTGTTGCAGCCTTGTGGCACATGGAGCCATCACGAGAAATTGTTTCTTAAATAAATTTAATGTTTTTCTGGCCGCAGACAATTGCAAATATTCTTTAGCAACATAATAAAACTAAGAATATTATATCACATTTCCCTCATTTCATCAGTGACTACACTTAAAAATACCTCACCATTAGGTGTAAGTCACTTTGGGACTATCTTGGGTTGTGAGAAACATGATGTATATGCTAGTTATTTCATTCTAGGTGCTGCAGCAACATACTTACAAAGTCACCTTCCTCCATGGTCACAGGTGGAGCTATCCCAGCTCTCGTCTGTATAAAATGTCCTTCTCTTGTGCTAATGGACCTAGGTCAGGCCACATTCTTTAAACCTAAAAGAGCTGGATCCATTATCTGCCCGAACATAAGGTGCCAAGATTGACAATGAATAAGTCAGGCCAGTTGGAGCAGTTAAAAACCATCAATAAAATCTGTCCTCTTCGAAGCATTTCCATTTTTGATTGGCCTACATAACCTTACTAAAGCAGCTATCACTGAGGTCAGAAGTTTTGCCGTTGCCATAGAAACCACATTTACCAATCAGAAAGCACGTTCATGCTAAGCAATTCATTGTTACACGCCTTACCTAAAATAGGGGCACTTGTGAATTCTGCAAGCTGTGCTGTCTATTGTAAGCAGAAAGCATCTCACTTGATTAGCTTGATTAATGGAAACACTTTGTGGTGTATGAATGAACGTATATATGAATCATTTTGGGATAGTCATGGTGTGCCAAATTGACTAACCTCAGCCAAATTGGAGAGAAGGAGTAAGGCTGAGGAGAGAATAATGTCAACCAAGCTCTATATTTCAGCCTAGACAACAAGGTGCAGGGCTGGATGAACACAGCAGGCCAAGCAGCATCATAGGAGCAGAGCATAGGCCTAGACCCTTCATCGGAAAAGCCTCTCTCTGCTCCTATGATGCTGCTTGGCCTGCTGTGTTCATCCAGCCCTGCACCTTGTTGTCTCGGATTCTCCAGCATCTGTTCCTACTATCTCTATATTTCAACCTGTTGACTAGTGGTCTTACCAGTGTCTGCTTCATTCAGTAACACTCTCACTTATGTGTCAGAGGGTTGTAGCCTCAAATTCCACTCTATAGACATGAGCCTGCATTATTGGAGTACTGAGGTTGTACTGTGCTGCCAAAGGTGGCATCTTCCAGATAAGGCAATAAATCAAGATCCTAAATAAAAACTGAAAGAAATGCAGATGCTGTAAATCATGAAAAGTTGCTGGAAAATCTCAGCAGGTCTGGCAGTATCTGTGAAGTAAAAATCAGAGTTAATGTTTCGGGTCCGGTGACCCTCAGAACTGATGGTAGCTGGGAAAACGTTGATTTATATGCAGAAAATAGGGATGGGGATGGGGTAGGGAATAAACAATAGGAGAGAACCCAAAGAGAGAGAAGTGCAGTTGGATAGACAAAGGAGGTGATAATGATCTGGCTAAGAGGGTGAATAGTTGTTAATGGGGTCTGTTAGTGATTAACAACAGGTAGTGTGTAATGGCAGGCTGTGGTGTGTGGGGTAGGGGGCTGGGACATGGGAGAGTGAGGCCCAAGATCCCAACTGCTTCTAAATATTCTAACAAATCATGGCTTTCTCTCACTGATGTAAAGGCCAATACTTATTCCTCACGAACCTCACAAAAACCAGTTGTCACCTTGTGTGGAACTGTATAGCATGAAAATTAGCTGCTGCATTTCCTATCACCAGAATTCAAAATGACTTCAATGGCTGCCAACGAGTTGTGGGAAACCCTGAACTCATTAAATGTTCTAAATAGAAGTGTTTTTTTTGTTTCTCTGCAAAGATGAATCAGAAGTGATGACAGCAAAAGTCATTGTTGCCCTGTGTGAAATCATACCAATCACAATTACTTTTCTATTCATTCTTGGAATGTGGCATCACTGGCTGTGCACAGCGCCCTCCCCATGGCTTCAGCAAAGCGACCAACATAATCAAAGACCCCTCGCATCCCAGTTATACTCTCCTCTACCCTCTCCCATCAGGCAGAACATATAAAAGTTTGAATACACGTGCGAACAGATTCAAGAACAGCTTCTAGTGACATTACCATTACAGCAGAATACCACCACCTCCCCAATTAATGAAGGTTAGAAACACAAACGGAAATTGCTGGAAAAACTCAGCAGGTCTGCTGGCATCTGTGGAGAGAAAGCAGAGTTAATGTTTTGGGTCCAATGACCCGTCTTCAGAACAGGTTAGATGTTGATGGGGTTTCAAGTAAACTGAATTGTCCTGTATTGTGTTGAGTTTCTTGAGTGTTATTGAAGTTTCACTTCATGAAGTAGTTCTAGATTCTCCTACAAGAGGAAATATTATTTCTGCACCCATCCAGTCAAGTTCTCTCTGGATCTTGTATGTTTCAATCAAGTCACCTCCTTTTCTTCCAAACACCAGCAAACCTAACCTGTCCAACCTTTCATCATAAGACAACTCACCCATTCCAGGTATTAGTGTGGTAAACATTACCTGAGTTGCTTCCAATGCATTTACATCCTTTGTTAAAGAAGAGGATCAATACTATACACAGTACTCCAAATGTGGTCTCAGTAGTACCCTACATTAATTAAGCATAACCTCTCCATTTTTTTGTATTCAATTCCCTCACAATGAATGCTAACCTTCTATTAGTTTTCCTGATTAATTGTTATACCTGCATATTAATCTTTCATAAGTCCCTGATCTCCCTGCATCTCAGAGTTCTGCAATTTCTCACCATTTAGATAAAATGGTTTTTTTTTCAATCATCCAACCAAAATGGCAGTTTCATTTATTCCCACATTATACTTCATTTGTTAGATCTAGGCTCATTCATTTAACCTACCTTTTTGAAGCCTCGGTGAGCCCACTTCACAACTTACTATCTGTCAAATTTGACAATCCTACTTTTCATCCCTTCATCTGAGCATTTTTATAAGCTGTACACAGCTGAGGTCCCCTCACCAATCCCTATGGTCCACTATCTTTCCAACCTGAAAAATATCCCATTTATGCCACTCTCTGTTTCCTGTCAGCCAGCCAATCTTCTATTCATGCCATTATGCAACCTCCTAAAACATAAGCTTTTATTTTCTACATTAACCTTTAATGAAGCACATTATCAAATACTTTCTGGAAATCTAGGTGGCTCAGTGCCAGGGACCCAGGTTCAACACCACACTCGGGCAATTATCTATGTGGGTTTCCTTCTGCAATCCAAAAATGTGCAGGTTAGGTGGATCGACCATGGGAAATGCAGGGTTACCAGGATGGGTTGGAGGTCGGTTCTGGATGGGATGCTGTTCAGAGAGTCAGTGTGACTCGATGGGCCAAAGGGCCTGCTTCAAAGCTGTTGGGATTCTATGATCCTGTTATCTAAGTACAGTATATTTGTTGGTTCCCCTTCAACCATGGTATGTTATCTCCTCAAAGAACTCTAACATATTGGTCAAAGATTATCCCCCTTTCACAACACTATGTTGTCTCTGTCTAATTGCCTTGAATGTAACCAAGTGTCCTGCTACAACTTTTTAAGTAATAGTTTCTAAAATTTTCCCTATGACAGATATTAAGCTGACTGGCCTGTAGTTTCCTGCTTTGGATCTCTGTCCCTCTTCGAATAAAAGAATTAAATTTGCTAAGTTCCAATTTAATCAGACCTTCCCCAAATCTAGGGAACTTTGGAAACTAAAGCCAATGCATCAGCTATCTCACCAAACAATTCTTATAAGGTCCTAGGATGAGGACCATCATGGCCTGAACAATAGGCAGCTGCAGCTCTCATATTTTACTCAGTGCCACTTCTCAGGTGATTGTGACTTTCCTTCCGCACTTCCATTTCCTGATTTGCCATTGCTTCTGTGATGTTACTGATATCCTCTACCATGAAAACCAATGCAAGCCACCTGTTCAATATACATTAGATAAGCCTAATGTCCTGGGTACGTGCTGGGAACTCCATTTACCTTACAAGCCACTATTTGGAAATAGATATGTAGACATAAGAATGTAAGAAATAGGAACAGGAGTAGACAATGTAGCTCTTTGATCATGCTCCCAATATTCAATATGATCGTTACTGATCTCAAGCCACAACTCCATTTTTACCCTGCTCCCAAAATCAAAAGGTTCCCTGAGAGATCAACAATCTGTTGATCTGAGCCTTGAATGTACTGAGTGATAGAGCATCCATAACCCTCTAGAGGAGAGAATTGCAAAGATTCATAATTCAGGTAAAGAGATGTCCCCTTACCTCAGTCCTAAATGATTGATCCCCTTACCCTGACAAGCCACTTCGGAATCATTAATGTTTCAAGTGAGATCGTCACTTACTCTGTTAGACTCTGGGGTGTGTGGGCCCAATTTATGGAGCCATTGGAGAACCCTTTCATCTCAGGAAATAATCTAATTAATCTTTGCTATTTGCCTCCAAAGTAAGCATATTCTTTCTTAGGAGAAGACCTGGTGGAGGAAATGCTTTTTAGCTACACTGCCCAATCCAATGAAATTGACTTTGCAAGAGCTATGCCTGAATGTTTGTGGTGCTGGCTTCAAGTAGGATCTTAGGGTTTGTGCAGCCTTCGTCTCATCACACCTGACGAATGTGACAGAGATATTGTTCGTTGACTATCTCTAGCTCTCTCATGTGTTGCAGATACACATAAGAACAGAAGAAATAGGAGCAGGAGTAGGCCATCTGGTTCCTTGAGCCTGCTCCGCCATTCAATATAATCATGACCGATACACACCCACTCACCGTAGCCGTTAATTCTTTTACTGCTCCAAAATCTATTGATCTTTGCATTAAAAACATTCAACAAGGTAGCCTCAACTGCTTCACTAAGCAGGGAAATCTGCTCCCCCTTATTTTGAGGCTATGCGCCCTAGTTCTAGTTTCACCTGTCAGTGGAAATAACCTGAGATAACAATGTATAGAGCTGGATGAACACAGCAGGCCAAGCAGCATCAGAAGAGCAGCAAAGCTGACATTTTGGGCCTAGATCCTTCCTCTGATGCTGCTTGGCCTGCTGAGTTCATCCAGCTCTACCCCTTGTTATCTCAGATTCTCCAGCATCTGCAGTTCCTACTATCAGTGGAAATAACCTCCCTGCTTCTTTCTTATCTATTCCCTGCATAATTTTATATATTTCTATAAGATCCTCCCCTCATTCTTCTAAATTCCATTGAGTATAGTCCCAGTCTACTCAATTTTTCCTCATAAGCCAACCATCTC